ACTGGGGAGCCCAGAACTGGACAGAGTACTCCAGATGAGGCCTCACCAGGGCAGTGTAGAGGGGAGGGAGAACCTCCCTCGTCCTGCTGGCCACACTCTTCTTGATGCACCCCGGGATCCCATTGGCCTTCTTGGCAGCCAGGGCACACTGCTGGCTCATAGTTAACCTGTCGTCCACCAGGACACCCAGGCCCCTCTCCGCAGAGCTGCTCTCCAGCAGGTCCACCCCAAGCCTGTACTGGTGCATGAGGTTGTTCCTCCCCAGGTGCAGGACCCTGCACTTGCCCTTGTTGAACCTCATCAGGTTCCTCTCTGCCCAGCGTTCCAGCCTATCCAGGTCACGCTGAATGGCAGCACAGCCTTCCGGTGTATCTACCACACCTCCCAGTTTGGTGTCATCAGCAAACTTGCTGAGGGTACATTCTAACTCTTCATCCAGGTCGTTGATGAAGAAGTTAAACAAGACTGGGCCCAGTACTGACCCCTGAGGGACACCACTAGTTACCAGCCTCCAACTAAACTCAGAGCCGCTGATGACAACCCTCTGAGTTCTGCCATTCAGCCAGTTCTCAATCCACCTCACTGACCACTCATCCAGCCCACACTTCCTCAGCTTCCCCAGGAGGATATCATGGGAGACTGTGTCGAAAAATGCGAAGTTAATGCGAAGTATTCTGAAAGGACTAAAAAGTAGGATTAGAATCCAAGAAGAAAAAGCCCTATTAGTGTGGGGAGACATCAGTGAATTACTAAATGTCATTTAGGTTAAAGATACAAGTAGAATCACAGAATCATAGAACCAGAATCTTAGAACAGTGTGGGCTAGAAGGGACCTTTAAAGATTATCCAGTTCAACCCCCTTGCCATCTTCAACTAGATCAGGTTGTTCAGGGCCTGGCCTTGAATGTTGCCAGGGATGGGGCATCTACTGCCTCTCTGGGAAACCTGTTCCAGTGTTTCACCACCCTCATCATAAAAAATGCCTTCTTTATATCCAGTCTAAATCTGCTGTCTTTTAGTTTAAAATCATTACCCCTTGTTCTATCGCAACAGGCCCTGATAAAAAGTCTGTCCCATCTATCTTATAAGCTTCCTTAGGTACTGAAAGGCCACAAGAAGGTCTCTCCCAAGCCTCCTCTTCTCCAGGTTGAACAGTCCCAACTCTCTCAGCCTTTCCACATAGCAGAGGTTCTCCATCCCTCGGATCATTTCTGTGGCCCTCCTGTGGACCCACTCCAACAGGTCCATGTCTTTCCTGTGCTGAGGGCTCCACCAGAGCTGGACACAGGACTCCAGGTGTGAGCACACATTGCTGGGTCATGTTGACCTCATGTCCACAAGTAAATGTGATAAATGAAGAGAACATGTTGATGACGAAGAAGTAATGAAAAACATTTTTCCAACTTGTGCAGTCCAATAAAGGTGCCTGTAGAAGGCTTCATCAACCTCCTCCTCCTGGTCAGGTGGCCTGTAGTATACACCCACCGTAATGTCACCCGTGTAAGCGTGTCCCTTAATTCTAACCCACATAATCTATGCATTCACCTGATATAACCGCCAGTTTCTGACAACCAGCAATGAGACTTGCTGGGTCAAAAATTGTATCCCTGATCTTGTGCTTAGTGGCTACTTCTTCAATTTCTGTAGTTATTTTTTACCTTATTTCTATTTTGATGCTGAAAGTATCCAGTTGTAATGTGTTCCGTGGCTGAATTACGCATTGCATCAAAAGAGCATTTCTATTCGTTCAGTTTATACCTGCTACCTAATAATTCCTCTGTGTGCCTACTAGCTGTCGTGTTAAGAGGAACAGTGATTAGCCATTCTGTGTTTCACTTTTGCTTTTTACCATTGCCAGTTTTTTAGACTCCCTGCCAAATCCCTCTTCAGGCACCTCTTTTCCAAGATAAAGAGTTCTTATCTATTTAATCTCTACCAAACAGAGGTCATTCCACACCTTCACTCACCACTGCCATGTGTCCATGTTCCTTTTCTAGTTGTCCCATGTCATTTCTGTGATGGGGTGACCAGAACCACACACATATTTACTCTGGAGATGCATCATTGCTGTAATAGTATCGTGTTTTACTCCTTAGTCATCTCCTATTTGTAAACTTCCTTTTGCCTTTAGAGATGATGCTTTCTGAATTTGTGACACCTGGCCCCTATCTTGAGAGGCAATAATTAATTATAACTAATTTAGAACCCATCATTGCACCTGTATAATCAGGTTGTTTTTCTGCCAGTGCATTACTTCCTGTGTCTATCATGCAGACGCTCAAGTCTCAGGAGACCCCTCTGTATCTCCTCATAGTCAGGCCTGCTGTTGGCTGTCTGAAGAATTGGATCTGATAAGCAACTGCTGCCATATTCTTACTTCCAATCTTTTTCAGTCTGTGTGAGAATATGTCATGCATATGATCACGCCAAAGCATATGCTATGAATCTTAATTGGTTCACTCCTTCTGTTGTGAAAACTCACTATTCTTCTCCACCCTTCTTCTTCCAATGTCACTAATCCACAGGAGGACCCCTCCTCTGATCTAACTGAAGCTCAGTTTCTCTGAGAACCTTTATTAAGGGACCTTGTCAAATGGCCCTCTGAAGGCAGTTCTCTGCATTGACCAGCATGCCTTTGCCTACTCATTGACTTGCTCTGGGAACTCCAGCAGATCCATGGCCGTGATTTTCCTCTTAAAGGCCATCCCTCTCTTGTGCTGGCATGCTGTATTCCTTCAAATGTCTGTTAACTACTTTTTCTGGTAGCATGCTGCCCATAAGCAAGTTGCCCTTCCAGATCTGTAGCTCCTCAGGTCCTTTGGAAACCTCCAGAAATGCTCCTTGTTTCCACTGCTCTGCTAGCAAGGCACACCAAAGTGACAGGTTACTCGACTCATTGATGCCACGTGCTCCTGGCAACGTGCTGCTACTCCCTTTACCAGTCTGTTCCAGGACCTCATCGACCAACACCTCTCTTTGCAAGACCTCTCAGGGCTGGTCAGCCAGGGAGACCTGCTCTGCTGTGGGAGCCTCCCCGAACACCTGATGCCACAGTGAGCAGAGGTGCAAAGGATTACTTGTGCTTGTCTGCTCTGGCCTTGTGTTCCTTGGGTGCCCCTTTAACACCCCAATCACCTCTCAGCCTGCCAGGCTCTCTGACAGGCTTCCTGCCACGGATCTGTCTGAAAACATTTACTATTCTATTTTTTTTTGTCCTTTGTGAATTACTTCTCAAAAAAAATTGCTTTGCCCAGTCATGGTTTAAACTTTGTTGCTGGTGGTTCTTACATTCTAAATTTCCATGCCAGAGGTTATTCAGTAGTCTTTGCTTCAGCAGAGTTTGGAAGGGTTTTCATGGTGGAATTATCCTGGGGTAAAAGCAGAGGAAAAGGGAACAAAGCCCAGTAGGAATGTCCCAGGGACTGCAATACACAAGTGAACGGGTCATCTTGTGCTCTCAGCATGACCAGAACAATCTGCCATGTGTGGGACTATTTCCCCAGCATATCCCAGCACAGAGAGGCATCTCATCTTCCCAAGCACAAACAGCAGCTGCAGTTACTCCAGTGGGGGCAAGGGCAGGGTTTTATCGCCATAAATAAAACCGTAAGTTGAACTACAGTGCCCCTGTGCTTGCATTCAAAACGTGGTGGCCGACGGCGCTGACTCCAGACACCAACCAAACGTGCGACAGTGACCGTTTCCATGATGCTGGCAGCATAGTGTGTGACAGTGCTGGACGCATCCTCAAAGAGCGTTTCTGTCTTCCTTTCAGGGCCACCTTGCGGAAGCTGCGCCCAGAGGACATGTTTGAGACGTGGGTAAGCAAACGTGGTGAGAAGCCTTCCGTCAGGAATCTCATGGAGATTGTACCACAGCAGTTGTACAATTCAAAACGCAAGTGAGGGCAGGTTAATTATAAAGATTATGGAGCAAATCGTGCATTGATTATACTTCTCACAGGGTGAGCAAGCTGCAAGTCAGTGATTGTGAAAAACTAACCAGCGGTTTGGCACTGATCACACGCAGAGGACTCTCCTGCTCTGCAAGTCGGGGGGAAAAGGGGAAGGGTGAAAATGAAAGAAAAACCATGTATAACAAATTATCCCTTTGCTGTGAATGAATACAGTGTTAATAACCAGCCAGGGACCTTCAAGCGCCAGCTGAATGCCGAAAAGCAAAGCTGAACAGGTGCTTTACAGGCGCTAAGGAAGATGCAGTCATTCCTCCAGAAAGCTCAGCACATTCATAACAGCATTCAGTTTCCTCCTTGCTTGGCTGTGTAACATGAAACGCTGTGGGACTCCGAAGCACCAAAAACCTTGGGAGTCTTTAATACAACAAGGCAAGAGGTAATAAAACTGAACCAGGAGTTATGAGTCACTTAGGCATGATAGCTTTTCATTTTGTTTTGAAATACAGATTCTGTATAGAAGATAGCTTCCTAGCTCCACTGAAGTCCCTCGAAGGCTTTTCATGGAGCTTCAGTGGGACCCAGATTTCACATGCAGTGGTTCTGCTTTCATACTGAATATATTCTAACATAACCTTAGGAAGTGTGAATTGCTAGCAGTGGGATGTTCACTTTACCAGCAGCTGGGAATACAGAGCTTCCTCTGCTACGAGCAGGGGACTCATACCTACAGGACACACCTGGTCAGAACACCTTCATGCCTTCACTGGAGTTGCTCTAGTTTTGTTTGCTGCCTTGGAGGTCAGAATAGGGTATATTATATAGCTATATGTATAATAATATCTCATATATATATATGTATTTTACTCTGCTGTCTGACAATGCTGCTGGCAAATATGTAGAAAAAGCAACAGTGTAGATTTTGCCAGCTGTAAACGGTCTGAATCTCAAGTAAATCTGCCCAGAATGCTCTGGTGAAAATGTATTCCCTGAAGACGCCAGCAAAGGCCCAGCATCCGCTATTGTTTTTAAAGATAATGTTTTCCACTTAATCTTCCAGGGGTTTTTTTCCTTTCAGCTTTTGATGGTGGCTTTGTCACCTCTGGGCTCAGAAGGGAAAAGAAATTAGCATTTAGATGGGAATTTTTTCTTGCATTAAAACCAATTGAAATGGAAACAGGGACTGGCAGCGGGCGAGGAAGGCGAAGCCGATCGTGGGATAATTCAGAGATGACATTCATAGCAGACGGATGATGAACCGGCCGGCGGATCTATTGGCCTTTGCCAATATCATTACCCATTACTCACGTGGAGAAAAGCAGTGCACCAGGCTGTCATTTCTGCCCTCCACTCACTGAAGCCCCCAAATGAGCCTTTCACTCAATTCCCCTCGCTGCTCACGGAAACCCCCACCTAAAGCAAGAGACCCTTCATCTCCTGAAAGGTGCCCAAGTGAGACACCTTACTTCTCATATTGCAAGGAAACCTCCTTTTCTGGACCCGAAGGAGCAAGTTCAGGGTCTGAGCGTGGTGTCAGATATTTGTTTCCCCACAAACTATCCCCTGGCAGCAAATTTATGAGGGTAGATGGCCTTGGGTCCGGAGGGTGAGCCTGTATTCCCATGCTAGAGAGCCCTTGGCCTTCTCTGCAAGGCAAGGTTTTGCCCCACACCATCAGAACCTCCCTTGATTTTGCCATTGTGGTGCCCACCTCATTTTTAGCTGAAGGATTTTGGCAGCGCTATCCAAACTACCCACTTCTGCACCTAATACCTCCACGGTTCGGCCTCACCTCAGGTCCCATTTCTGGTGTCTCAGTGGGGCTCCAGTGAAGCCTCCCTTTGCAATTGTCTTGTTTGCTCGAAGGCATCCCACCATTCGTCATCTTCAGCGAGTGCCTGGGCTCTGTCCTCCCTCTCCTGGCCCATCAGTAACAGTTTTGTTGTTTCCAGGAGGATGACATGGAGGGAATCCACATTGTGGCCTTCGCTGAAGAAGATGACCCAGGTAGGAGGCTGTTTTCCTCCTTGCATGACTCTCCGTCTCTCAAGAAATTGTAGTTTCATGTGCTTTGCTTTTGTTGTGGAGCCCCATGCTCAGGCGAGGATGGGGAGCCCCAGCCTGCCAGGACAGGGAGCTGGGGTGCTTCTGGGTATTTATGCTAGCAGGTATGCTAACATGGATTCAAATTCTGGATATAAATAGATGGATGGCTGGGAAAAAAGGTCATCTTCTCCACCCCAGTGCCAGGATTTTCTCCCTAACTCTGTGTCCAGCTTGCTGTGTGGCTGCGGGAGAGTGCTGAGGGCTGGGTGTGTGATGGGCATGTGGGAAAACCGTGGGCATCAGCTCCTGAAAAGCCGTGGTGCCTGTGCTTCTCAACGCCATCAGCATGCCGAAAAGATTTGGCCTCTCGGGGACTCAGTTCCTCCCTCGCTACAAGAAAATAGTGACATTGTTCCACTCCATGGAAGGATTACGAGACTTAATTCATGTGTAACTAATTTCAATATCCGGGGAGGACGCTAGAAATTAAAAGCCTTATTATCAGAAGAAAGAGCTGGGAGACTGCATTTTAATGAGAACTATAAACAACTCCTGTGTGCATAGGAGGATGAGGGAAGTTGAAAACCCCACAAGCAAAAAGTGCCTGCGTGTTTGCAGGAGAGAGCTGCAGTGGTTCATGTATAATTTCAGATGGTTTTGAGTTCCTGGAAATCCTGAAGCAGGTTGCCAGGGACAACACCGATAATCCCGACCTGAGCATTGTCTGGATTGACCCCGACGACTTTCCTCTGGTGAGTGGCAGGGGCTCCTTGCTTTCCTTGGTTTTCTTCATGGGTGGGGGGGGTTGTGTGTGTGAGCACAAGCACAGGAATTGCCCCAGGGAATTTGGGACAGGGAAGGATGCTAAACCAGACCACAAGCTATCCCTGAGGGCTGCTCGTCTGGGTCTGCCTCCCATGAAGGTGGTGTCTTGGGAACGTCCCCAGAGTCAGCCCTTTCCTTTGCTGCGTGTGGCAGCTCAAGCTTGCGTTTGGTGTCTGTCCTCTCCTGTGCTCTCATCAGTGCACGCTCCCCACACCACAGCCCAGCCGGTTGAATTAACACAACGGGGTATTGCAAACACCCTTGTCTGAGCTTTGTTTCTCTCCTACAGCTGATCACCTACTGGGAGAAGACCTTCAAGATTGACCTGTTCAGACCACAGATCGGGGTGGTGAATGTCACAGATGTGAGTAGCACACACCCAAAAAATCCAACGATCCCAAGATTTGGGTGCTAGAAAGGACGAGATCTGAGGTCCACTGGAATCGTGGGATTTCTGCTGTGAAGTGGAATTAGACCAGGCTTTTTCTCCTGGAAAAAAGTGTAAAGACCTCACCATTTCCACACGCAGCTCGGTTCACAACACCTTCAATGTCGGGCTTCAGGGCTTCGGTCTGAGCAGGTTTCTGCTGCCGAGTCGCACACAAACCACATCTGCTGAGGAAAGGACCAGTCGCTGTGGTCTGAGCTTCAGGGCTTTGCCTGGTTTTGTTTCCAAGGTCTCACATTTCCACCCCAACCCATGGCATGCACCACTGTGCCCTGCTCTGACTGAACCTGGGTGGGCTTGTGGGGGAAAAGTATGTCTGTAGGGGATAAAGCAAGCCCTGATTAGGGGAGGAGGAGAGGAGAAAAATGCAGGTGTTTTTGCAGCAGAAGCAGAATGGCCCAGCTTGAGTGTAGGAGGGCACATGATCCCCAACAGACAACAGTGAGAAACTGCACAGCTTGAAAAAAAATACAGATAAATATACAGCCTTAACAAAAGCATGACGTAAATTGGTAATGGAGGGATCCTGCTGGGGCAAAGAGGGTATGGTGGGGTTTGTCTATAGATCTTCCTCCTCCCCAGCTGCTGCCGTGGCAGTGGTGCTGGAGGGCTTTGGGTGGGAAGAGGAGAGGTGTCCGCCCCATGCCCGGTGGCAGTGAGGAGTTCCCACACCATCCCGTGGCCGGCAGCGCTGCAGAGACAGGGCTGCGCGGGCAGGTGCTGCTTGGGCTTGGCGGTGGTGGTGGTGGTGGTACCCACAGCATCCACAGCTGTGCTATTGGGCCAGCTTTATAGAATCATTAAGGCTGGAAAAGACCTGTAAGATCATCAAGTCCTGCTTTCTGGCAGCTGCTGTTTTCACCATGGTTGCCTTCAAGCCAGCAAGCCATGGGACTGATGTCAGGTTGCTTGCGTGCTGTGAGCTTTTAAGGCAGGTGGGAGAGGGACCAAACAGACCCCTGCCCGCAGAGTTTTGGGGCGAGCTGCTGAGTGCAATGTAACGTGCATCACAGCCCTGACATGACTGCAGAGAGAAACCATTTTTCCTCTTTCTGACAATAGTAGTCCAGACGATCAGAGAGCAAGTTACGCGGAGTGCTCCAGCCTGGCTCGCTTATTACCTTAGTTTATTTTTGATGGTGAAGTGCTGGGTGTTTTAATCTCTTTAAAATGAACCCGTGTGGGTATGTAAGTGTCTCTGGAAGCAGAAATCTTTCCACTGCAGAAGTGTTTGAAATTTCAGCTGTATGGGAACCTGATGTTTCATTAGAAGAGAGCAGAGAGGGACTTAAGAGTTGGGACAACTATCAGGGGCTGGGCACTGGTCCTGGCTCCACCACCGACTTTGCTCGTGGCTCCCATGTCCTCTCTCCTCTACCTCCCCAGAAAAAGAGGGACAGTAAGGGAGTGCTAGATGATTGTGTCTCCTGTTATAACAAATGCTGCAAGACCATGAGGTGTGTTAGGGAAGGCAAAGAGATGGTGTTATGAAGAAAGCAAATGCCCCAGATCTTGCCTGTCCCATTGAGGGGAATGAGAAGGAAGCGCAGAGGCTGGCTTGGGAGTTATGGAGTGGATGCGGCTCTGGCTGGATGTGAGCTGTACTTTACTTGTAATACAGCAGCATCCACCAGACCATGAGACAGACAGCTATAGAGTGAGGACCCAGTGCATTAAGGCTTCTTAGCAGAATTGTTAAGGGAAAGACAAAAAGGAAGAGGGCCAAGATAGCATCTGTCACCTAAGAGAAATGAGAGAAATGAACAGACAAGCCAGAAATAGAGCCCAGATCTTCCAGTCTTTTGCCATTATTACTGGTTCGCAGTACCTCCCTTCATTATGTTTACTGCAGTCAGCCATGCTTAAGTCATGTCAAACCTGCATTAGCCAGCTATCAACGGAAATTCATGGAAGCAGGATTGTCAGTGTCAAGAGAATCATATGGAAAGAAGGAACATATGCCTTATTATCCAGCAGTCACTCAGAGACCAGTAAAAACTCATGCATTATCTAGCTTTGATATAGTAAATGTTTCAAGTTGTTGATTATAGCATTTGCAGTTTTTATTTCATTCCTCTTAAGTCTGTTTTCTATTCCTCAAGAGAGAGATTTAAGAAAGTTCTAGGTTGGCGAGTGATATCTAAAACAAACACTGAGCTCATTTCGTTATTTCAGTGTTACATCACCACATTCAGCCAAGTTACACAAGTACAAAGTGGGGCTTACACAACAGAGTAAAAATAAACACTGCTGTTGGCTTGGGTGGACGTAACCCCTGTGACCCCATCGCTTCTCTAAAAACCTGCCCATACAAACACCAGAGCTCCCATCAGCTCCCATTGCCCCGTCACATCGTAGTAGCCCAGGACTAGGGCCGTGACAAGCTGCAAAATATTGCTGCTTCATCCGCACAGCATCTTCTCTAGGTGCAATGGGCCCGTTCCTCTTCCCCTTATTTAAAGGTGTCACTTTTTGCCCCACGAACAGTCCTGAGGTCGGGGGCCAGATCATTTGCATGAAGCAAGAGCTGTGTGCCTCTCCGTGGCTCTTTGTTATCACAGTTTTGGTGGTTTAGGAGGAAAATATATAGGGAGAAACAGCTTTCCCTGAGCAGAAACTTGTCTGGCTTTCTAGCAAGCCATACAACAAAGAGAATTAGGTACCACAGGCAGGGAAAGAAGCGGGGCACATTTGCAAAAGCCAGTAGTTATCTTCTGACGTATAAAAAGCACTTCATTCTGCAACATCAAACGCTGAATGAGATAACCTCACAGCACCTCTGCGAAATAGGCTGATCCTATTTCACAAACGGAAGATGGTAAAGGGGCTTACCCAGGCATTTACCCAAGGAACCTTTAGCAAAGCTTGGAGAAAACCTTTCGTTTCCAGGTCTCAGAGACCATTTAAACTATGCTTTGTGTCCCTGGCTAATAGCTGCAATTTAGACAGCATCTTCTGTCTAAAGAGTTCCCCCATCCCTTCCAGTTCATGGAAATAATGCAGACAGCTGGAGAGAAAGAGCAGGGGGCACCTGTAGTCCAGGGCATGGGTATTTTTCACCATTCTTCAGCTGAAGCATGATGTAAAGGCTCAAACGAAATGGTCCCAGAAGGGCTCTGGAAGGAAGGAGGGAAACACAGTGCTGTCCTGTGAACTGCAGCAACGCAGGGGGAGATGGCATAGGTCTATTTATGCTTTCTTTACGTAGACTTGGAGTCTACAGAACTGGCCAGACAGGGTGAGAACAATGCTCTTGCTCCCAGGTGTAGGCTCTGCAGGAGAAGAAAGGGCAGCGGGCACGCATCTAACCCAATGCAAACCGTACCGCACACTCATGTAAACCCAGTGACCAGTCCCACCACCCCTAGTCAGAAGCAACAGCGCTTCAGGGGGAAGTGGTAATCCCAACATGCGGGCAAAGAGACACAGGCTGTGGCAGAGAGGGAGCTAATGCCGCCACCACCACTCCTGCATCCCACCTGTGGTCCAGCCCTTGCCCCCACAACAGCAGTGAACCTGATCTCTCCCCTGTGTCTCTGAGGGAGGCTAATCCCCTATCACCTGTCCCCACAGGCTGACAGCATCTGGATGGAGATCAGAGATGATGATGACCTGCCCACGGCTGAGGAGCTGGAGGACTGGATAGAGGACGTGCTTTCTGGGAAGATAAATACTGAAGATGATGACGATGATGACGATGATGACGATGATGATGACGATGACGATGATGACGACGACGATGACGACGACGATGATGATGACGACGACGATGACGATGATTAACTGTAACTCTGTGCAGTTTGACTTGTGGGGGCTGAGAGGCCTCCCCCCGCGGCAGGTCCCTCCATCAGAAGACCTGCGTTTGAGCATCAGCAAGCACCGCTGCTCCTCTCCCCCCTCTGCCTCGCTCCCCCTGCCCCTGCCCTTGCCGGGACCCCCTGGCCTGATTCTCAGCGGTGCTGAGCCGTGGGGACTGCCCCTGCAGGGACCCAGCACCGCTGCCAATCATGCCTCCCTCCTCAGGACGCTAGGAATCTGCAGGGAATCTGCCCCCAGTGCCCCAGGGCAGGAGGAAAGGGCCTGCCTGCTCACTGCCAGAGGGACACAGGGAGCCAATTCGTATTTTCTGCGCTCATCGGCCCAGCACTTAACATCCAAAGACCAAATCTCACTTCAAGACATAGGGAAGGCCACTGTAAAGTTTAGCCCTTTTATTAAACACAATGCCCTTTACAGCTACTCTGCCAAGACCACTCCATCCTGCAAGTTCTGCTGTGGGAGTCTGTAGCTACTTATTAAGATGCTAGGAGCAGCACGAAGCTTTGGGAGGGGAGGAAGGTTTTAGGGATGCTATTTAAGTTTTCAGTGATTCCATATAATGGCAGGATATTCTTGTCTGACAGCGCAATGCAAAGCCAAACACCACGGTCCCTGTCTGAACCTCTTTCTTCTTGAAAGCTCAGGCCAAAGATAGGGTAAGTGCAGGTGGTCTGATACAGAACATCAAAGCTTGCGAGTTCCTGAAATGCTGGAAAGGCTGATCCAGCTCTGAGGCCAGACTCTTGAGGCTGAAGACCATGGCGCTGAGCCAAACTGTTGGTTTTCACCCCAGAGAAACACTAGAGCAGACCCCAGGCCAGTTCCAGACATCTACAGCTAGGTCTGGGCTGGGCCTACCCTGCCTCTCAGGTGAACCTCCGCAAGATTGAAGGTGGTGAATATGAGATAGACAGCATACTCCTGCCAGTGGAAACATTCACAGGGGCCCACCCTGAGGCCCTGCTATTCCCCATGACCTTCCAGCTTTAGCTGACTTTTAATCCAAAGCCTGTATAGCATCTTCTCCCATGACCAACACATTGGGAGGGACATCCGTCCAACCATATTAGATGCTGGGTAATAAGAGTTGGGCAGTGAGCAGTGAAAGGATTCAAGCTGTTCGGCTTTTAAGTATCCAGTTGCACAGGTACTCCCTGCTCAGAGACTCGGATGTCCCATGGTAGCTCGCGAGAAGCCTCCTTTGACTGCAGGCTGACACGGAGCTCCGGGTGCCAGTTCGCAGTCAAGGGGGTCACTCACAAAGCAAAGGGTCAGCAACCCAGTCCTGGCAAGCGCAGCAGCATCCATGTGCAGGTCACTGCAACAGTGTTAGGTCTCCCTGCTTTCCCATGCCGGCAGATTTCAATCGTCTTAGCTTGTTAGGTTTGACAATAGTGCAATGAATGGAGAGTTCGGAGACAGCTTTATCTTTATAAATACATTTATAAATATGTTCTCCAGTGGCTCAGACTTGTTAGTATAGGTAGGGTACACGTGTCCTCTCTTGCTACAGACGAAAAACATTGGTCTGACCTTTCTTACATTGGCTTATGTCAGAGCTAAGTGATGTTAGGGGAAATAAAAGTGCGAGGGACAGGAGAATCAGAACTCGATATATGAATGCAAATCAGCCTGATGAGAAACAAGGTTTACACACTACACATTTTCTTTTTCAGATGAACTGCAAAGCAAGATTTTATAGATTTTTTTTTTCCTGCCTGTTGATCAGTCTCTTTGACTCTCTCTCTCTCTCTGCATCAGCTGAAATAGAAATTTGAAACTACTGGTATAAAAACGGTGAAGTACTGATATCTTCCTGCGTGTGCCATATCCCCTTGCTGGAAAGCACCAGCATGAACGATACGCAGCTGGATAGCTATATGTCTCTATGTATACGAATGAATACTGTGCTTATGTGATTGTAGGCCATGTTAGCTCCTCAATGAACATCAAACGCTGAATCCATGCTTTTCAGGTACAGCTTATTAGAAGCATAGACAGGATGGCAAACCCCTAGGTCAACTATTGTCTTGTATATACTTGCCCTTTCTTGCTTCTTCATGATGGATAAGCACTGCCTGGAAGACTTGAACCAAGTGAGTTCGGGGAGACCATCCGCCCGGTCACACTGGGGTTGTGAACAACTCGGCCGCATCCCAGAGGACCTGGTGGAGACGTTCAGAAGGCTTGAAATGCAGAGTGCTCGCAGCCTGGAGGTCCTCTCCTCTCCTCTCTTTCGCACACCCCTCTCTCCTGGCCAGAGGGGTGCCCAGCACCCTCCTTCTGCTCTTCTCTTTCAGTTGCTTCCTTGAGAGGTTTGCTGGAGGACCCCAGCTCAGAGACAGACGGAGCAAGTGGTACTCAAGGTCTCGTTGATGGATGTCAGTAAGGAGTGAGAACAGGCAAAATTAGCGGTTTAGTAGTCTAGTCGGTGATTCAGGGACAAACACTGCTTATGTTACTCACCTCAGCAAAGCAGCTGTTTATCTTTACCTTGGGGCTATTCCCAGGAGTAAAACACGCAGAGTTTCACCCTGCATAAGGTAGCAGCCTGCACAGGCCCTGCAGCTCCAGATCAGTCCCCGCAAAGCGCCATGAATTTCTACAAACACGAAGAACAGGTGAAAAGTTGCTCTACAGCCTTTCCCAACTGGCACCGTCTCCGCACACCGCGACTGCCTGGGTACCGTCCCCTCCCGCTGGGGATACCCATCTGCGCTGCCGTGCCCCTCTCCAGAGGCTCCGAGAGGCACAGCTTACACAGGCAGAGCAGGCAGACCCTGCAAACGGCACTACGGCCATGTTGCGGTGCGGAGGTGTTTCACAGGCACGTGCACGTTTCAATGCATCAAGAAACAGAGGGCTGGGGGGGGCGGAAATTATTAATGTAGCTCTGGTTCGGCTTATACAGAGGCCGGTGCGGCTGTGCTCATACTGGGGCTGGTGGGCTGGTGTCAGTGGTTTATGGAACGTTTCGCTTCAGCCATGAGAGAAAGGGCTAATCCTCCAGCTGCCACTCCTTCATGGTGCCAGCGCAGTCCTCGATGGGGCCACCCTTCCCTCTTCCCTCATCCCCCCGTTATGCTTTTTCATGGTTGGCTTTGCCCATGAAGGGGAACTTCTTATTTTCAGCTTATGGGATAAACACATAAAATGTTTAGAAAATACTGCAGCAGTGGAAGGACTGCAGCAATGAAGATCAGCAGCCAGCAAAGCCTCTCCCATTCACCCATAACACTTCGTCCGCCTGAAGTTCAGAGTGACCAAACCACTGAACAAGGTAATACCCCTTGTGAAGAAGATGGCAGCTTGAATTTGAGTGTCTTCCTTGCAGGGACGGGTAAGATAGCGCTGTGGGGAGGCATCACACAGGACCCCAGGCACGAATGCTCCTGGCCTCCTCTGTCAGAAGCAGGCACAACTGGCACATGAAAGGCACTGGTGGCCCTGAGGAGCAAAGTCAGCCTAACCTTGCCCACTACGCACTCAAAAGCAAAAGGTCCATATGTTTGGGTGAGGAACTAGGGAAAAAAACTTCTTTATTAAAAAAAAAAAAAAAGTGCATGTGGGAAGCACTGTTTGTGCAGGCAAGTCTGTTAAGATTATCCCTCTCTTAGCAAATACTTCTTTTTCTCCAAAGTGTTAATTAGACATTCATATTAAACTGGTCTTAATACACATAAAGACAGACAAGGAATCGTATTTTGCCTTTACCCAACTGCAACTGCTTCCAGCTGATCAGTCACTTCAAAGTGCTTCAAAACTTAGTCTTATCAGCCCCCAGTGACGGTGAGGACCCCCCTCCCACGCAACCCGTGGCAAGAACACAAACTGACACACCACCTCCTCCCCATCCCAGGACAGGGCCACAGAAGGTGGGTTTGTTCGGCGTGCTGTACCACAGGCCACCCCGTGCTGCTCACGAGCAACGATCAAGGGAGAGGGAAACCCATCAAGAGCCATATACTACAGCTGTCACACAGAAGCATGGAGGAGAAAGCTTCTGCCTTTACAGTGGACCCAAGGACACTGAGGGAGAGGCTCTGTGAACCAGAAACTGCTCTGAGCCAACACCAACCCTTTGGGAAACAGCTCCAGAAGGACAGGACAAGGGAGGCACTCTGGAAGTCACAGATTACTCTGTATTTTCAGGGTCAGCTGTTTTTGTGATGTTTCTGAGGACTGGTGAGAGTGTCCCATGCTGCTCTTAGGAGAGGAACGGCCCCGTAGTGAAACCAGAGATCTTGGCTGCTTCCCCTCCCAGAATGAAGCTGCTCAGCCAGACACCAACACGCATGCACAGCCGAGGACATCGGCTGCTTCTTCATGTCTGTCTGCACAGCACAGCTCAGAAACAATTGATTCGTTACCGAGACCAAACAAAAAACATTGCCTTTTATTCCCAGGGAAATAATTAATTAGACAGGAACATGCCTCTTCCCAGCTGCCGCTGACTTGCAGTCCTGTGAAAATAGGCCAGGATTGCGTCTGGATTCCTCTCTGCCCCAGCAAAGCTTTGGCTTTGGGAAAGCCCCACACGTACCAAGGCCTGGGCTTAGGGAGCTGAAGAGGGAGAACAGCTCAACAGGCGACACGTGCCAAGGCTCCCCAGGGCAAAGCAGACTGCCTGCTGGCTACTTTTACACCCCAGGCACATCTATGCTGTGCAGTGCAGCGCCGTCCACTAGAAGCTGGAAGCAGCAGAGCACAGCAGGAAGGATAATTAACCCCAGTAAGGAGACTGCACCAGCAGGACCGTGTCCTACCCGAGACCCGAGGTTCTCTGCAGCACCCCACTGCGCTGCAGCATCCCCTGCCTTTGCCCTGCTCCCTTGTACCACCAAGATCCGGGCAAAAAGCAGCCCTCCCACCACCAGCACCCCTTGGGGCCAGCGGTGGGGTGGCTCTCACACCCGCTTGGCAGAGGAAGATGTCTCATGACGATGCGGACCATGCGGCAGGGTCCAGGGCAGAGCCAGCCCTCTTGGCTCTGCTCCCAGAATGCTCCCTGGTGGGTTTAAAAGGTGCTAAACTATTTAAAGGGGCGGGGGGGAAGCTACAGAGTTTCCTTGCAGCTTGAAGACCCGTTTCTGGAGTCACATTGCAAGCAGCTTTTGGGATGGAAGCAAAGATCCTTCCGGTGTCCCTGTCCCCCCCTTTCTGCTTCCCCCTCGCACCTTCTCTTGCTGAGCTCCTGTGATGAAGGACATCAGCAAAGCACGCACAGGGCTTCTGGTACTGTCCCTAATGATATGGACAATGAGAAGAGAAGAAAACACAGATTTTTCACCTTCTTTTCATCCCTCTTTACTTACTACTCTTCTAGTCTTCACTGGCTCCCCTACTTGTTTTGCTCTCTCCATTTCTATCTAGCCTGTCGTCTTCTTCTCCTCAACCCACCCCACACAGCACGTGGTAGCGAGAGTTGCTGAAGGACAAGGCCCTGCCCTGCCCCTTGAGCTCGTCCCCAGCCCAGGGAGACAGCAGCCTCCCTCACGCCACGGCCAGGAACCAGCTGTGGTGGCCCCCATGCCACGAGCTGTGGCTGTGAACACGGGGAGGGACAACAGTACCTTCCCAAGGAGAAAGCCAACCAGACAAGGCTGAGACTGGTTTTGCTTTTGGGGGGAGAGGTGGGACACACTCAAGGCGAAGCTGTTTCACCAGCCTGGGCACT